GCGACAAGTACCTACACATCAAACAAAAAAAAAAAATAAAAAAAAAAGAAACAAAAAGCTACGTAAATGTTAGAAAATTCCATTTTATAAATAAATTGTCAAATATCCATTTACATATTATAATGTGCGCTTAAATGTCATGCAAATATTTCTGCATATTATTAAAGGTTAATAGATTTCACCGAACCCGCTCCTGTGCAAGGTACATATTTCTTTCAGAAATTTATTTTTACTTGTCGTTGCTTATAAACAGAACAAGGTCAGACCATTACCGCTTACCTGACGACGTATTTTAAATGGGTGGAAAGTAATTTTAGAAAAATATGTTCTCAGTATTAGATTTCTCAGAAAACATTTTCCGAGTTTCCGTACTAATCCGAATGTTATTTTTAAACACTTAAGCAATTAATTTAAAAAGTATATAAAATTGCTAAAATATTTTCTTTTAGTACCTTGTTTTCCATTTAGATTGTATCATGAGCTAATGAATCACATTTGATATATACAACTAAATAAAAATCACATTAAAAAGAAGAGATTTAATTAATTGCTATTTAAACAAAAAAAAAACAAGCTATAAATAATGCTTACCTAGTAGTACCATGCTTTGATTATATATCTTATGTGAAAAATATAAATACTTGTTAAATTATTATTATTTTTTTATATTTACCTATAAAATATATTTTTTTATTTACAAAAAAAATTATTTTTTACAGTTACAAAGTGAAAGATACGGCAGCAGTATCGGTGATAGATACACTCCATTATATTACCAGGTTAGCACTGTTTCTGTGTATCTGTGTTGTTGTCTATTATTTGTGGCGTTCACTTACAACTAGAGAGTGTATTGACTAATAAGAAAATTATGCAAAATATAATTTAACATTAATATAAATTAAAAGGCGAAATTAAAATGATTAATCTATTTACATACTTAATACGCTAATGACTTAATTCAAGGCCTATGAAAAGATGTCAGCCTAGTCGGTTGACACAGTATCGCTTTCAAGCGTAGAGCCGTTAGTAATTAACTAATTTTTTAATGCCTTACACTTAATTAGCTTAAATTGCAATACCTCAGCTTGAAAAAAAAATCTTTTCTTAGCAATTTAAAAATTTATTTATTGAATTTTATTTTGACATCTTAATAGGTACGCTCAGAACTAATTAAAATTTTTGGGCTAGAAATATTGGCTAATGATTTATATTAAAAAATTTTTTTTACTTTTTACATCGCTATATTTTTTAAAAATTGTGTATTATTTTAATTAAATAAAATATTTGCATTTTAAATATTATAATATATATTGAATAATAATTTTTTTTTTAAATATTATTTTGACATTCTATGGTAACAGGTATTCTCAGAATTAATTAAAATTTTTGGGCTAGAAATATTGGCTAATGATTTATATTAAAAAATTTTTTTTACTTTTTACATCGCTATATTTTTTAAAAGTTGTGTATTATTTTAATTAAATAAAATATTTGGTATTTTAAACATTATAATATTTACTAAATAATAAATTTTTTTTAAATATTATTTTGACATGCTAACAGGTATTCTCAGAACTAATTAAAATTTTTGGGCTAGAAATATTTTCTTATTGGTCATATTAAATGAATTTCTTTACTTGTCTACATTTTTTTTAAATTGTATATTATTTTAATTAAATAAATTATATTATATTTTAAAGAATAATATTATGCATCAAGTAAAATTTTTTTTTTAATATTATGTAGACATCTTATAAGGTTTTCTCAAAACTAATTAACATTTTTAGGCTAGAAATATTTGTTTTTGGTTAATACTAAACAAATTCTTTTACTTTTTTAAATTTGTTTAAAATTGTTTGTTATTTTAATAAAGTAAAATATTTAATTAAATTATAAAGTATTTCCTAATTTATATTTTCCATTCTGTAATTTATTTCCGTCTTTAGTAAAAAAATTATTTCAAAATAATGAATTTTTTTTTCTTCTTAAAATTGGATAATTGCCAAAAATGTGGGAACATTAATAGCAACAAATTATAAGAAATTACAAAAAAAAAACATTCCTCAAATGTCATCGCAATAGTTTTACTTAAAAATTTATTTTAGTTTTTATTTTTTTCCTTTCTGAATACAAATTCCAATTGTGCCAAAATATCTGAACAAAGTTTTTCATGGTCAAACTGATGAAAGTAAACTTAACTCATTTTTCTTAATGATTCAACTTGGCATTTTATTTTTGTGTCTTTGCACAGTGGGCTTAAAAACATATTTATTAAAACTAATCTTCAACTATCTTCAACGGATTATATATAATATTTTAATTTATTACAAAAAAATATTAATAGAAGCCAATCTTCTAGTTAAGTTTCCTCATTGGAATATTTTTTAAGATATGCCAATATAATTTTTTATATTATGTACCCATTTACAGATGGGTAGGTATATACTGGGAATGCCGATCAAGGAACTCCAGTTTTTTATATCTAATTTAATTTTAAAATTATGTATATTTATTTCACTTTAAAATAATCCATGGAAATAACATCAAGATAGCTATGTAGGTAGGTACTGGAGATGGGACTCCATTCCACTTAATATTTTATAAATTATGACAGTGTACTATGAGTTTCTATTTGTAGAAATTAATTCATGTCGATCTTATTTGCAACAACAAATGACAATAATAAATTAAAAAGCAAGTAGTTACTTGCCTGTGAATATTACACCGAAAATTTAACATATATTATCGGACCTATTCTGTGCACTTGACAGATTTGCCAAATTCTTTAATAAAGTTTTTGATTTTTATAAAGCATAAAGCTTTTTGGTATTCTGGACACATCTTGACAAATTTCAAAGCTCAAGTACCTAGTGCTATTCACCACACTATGGTGTAAAGTGTTTTGTATAGAAAACTGTTCGTAATTGTTCGTAACTGTTCGTAACTGTTCGTAAGAAATGCTTGTAAAGAGCACATATTTTAAGTTGCCAAAAGCATTTTTCATGCATTCAAATAACAATAAAAAATATGCTTGTAAAGAGCGTATATTGTAGTTAAGAATATTTGTCATGCATGCAAATAATAAAAAATGCTTAAAAAGAGCATATTTTTATAGTTGTCGACAGCATTTGAGGTATTGACAACTAACAAGGAAAAGAGCTTTTTATTTATGTCACAGAATACCAAACCCTTTACAGCAGTCAATTTGGACAAGTGTCAATGTTTGACAAGATTATAAAGTGCACGAAATAGTCCGTTATCTACATATATAATATATATATATATTAATATATATAATATATATATTAATATATATATTTATATATTTATTATATATATAAATAAGTAAATAACTTTAGATGAAAAAGATATATATGTTTATATAACATATATATGTTTTTGACTACTTAATTTAATAGCAAAAGAAGTTAATATATTTTGTAATTCTGGAGATAAAAGCTGTTACTTATAAAAGACAGGTAGTAGCGTTCAGGTGCTCAACCTACAAATGTTGCCTATAAACGTTTATATGTGATTATATGTGTTATATATTTCTTTCTTTACTTAGAAATTGTACATTAAATATTCAGTATCTTAATGATCTTGTATTAAAAATTTAACTTAGTATTGTTTGAACCCTCGATTGGCTTCGAAAAGCCTGAAACTCTTTGGAATTCTCAAAAATAGAAATCCAAGTATGTATATATAGTCTTGGAATTCTTCAAAAGTCCCTCAAAGTCTCAAAAGTCACTAGAATTCGAGAAGTTTTAACTCTCGTTAAACTATTTTATTGATATCACATTATAGTTACCTTATTGGAACCTCATTGACACTATATAGTCATCATATAGTTGTTATTTATATATTTTATTATGTTCTGAATAAGAACAGAGCAGATGTGTATTCCTTTTCCTAAGTTTAGTAATTATAGATTATAAGTTTCGTTGACTTATAAGATAATATTCCGCAAACACAAAATATGGGAAGCCTCAATGATATACTGGCAACTGTATACAATTTGACCACGTTCCAATATAAGGAAATCCAGTTCGCACTTTGAGATGCCCCGAAGAGATATCAGTCTTGTGGTAGATTTACTTACAAATCACTGCATTTTAGGTAACATGCAAGATTATTGAATATCTCTTTCAAGTATACCTGCCGCAGTTGTGGAGAGGAGCATGAAGGTGCCACCCACCTGTTTTGTATAAGTTGCGATGCCGCCTTACCACTTTAGGGTCTTTTGAAAGGATCTTGGTAAACTGCACAACTTTTTCTTAAATAGCATTATAAGTTTTGTAAGAGGTTCTAAACCTCTGTATTTTTCTAAACACGTTACACAATGGGCCTATAGGTCGAAATGGATACCCTGAGATCGTGAAACTTTTGCTAAGACACAATAACGTTGCTATCTCCAGAAGTGGTTATACCTGTCTTCTTAAATTAAGACGGCCATAAACCGCATGCCATCTTTTTAAGGCTTTTTGTTGACATGTCCTGTGACACAATAATAAGTAAAATAATAATAAAAATAATGAAAGTATGATATCTTTTACAATTTAATAGGATGAATTGCCTTGCTGTTTCTTTACGAACTTGTTGTTTCGCCTTCAATTAAAGTTAGTTTGCAACTAACTGGATGCCAACTGTTGAGTAGATATGACCTCTTTCATGCCCCAAATAACATTTTTAGTTTCAGGGTTAAAGCTTATACAGCTTGCACATGGTTTAAGAAGAAGATTAGGTGCAATTATAAAAAATGTATTTTTATTGTTTATAAAAGAGAATAACCTTAGAAAAGCTTTTACTATACCAGCTTCACATATCCTTGTGTAGTAGCACAAGAGCATAAAAGCTACTTAACTAAAAAGAATTTGTGCATCGGCAGTTGCAAGTAGTATTAACCTCGTTTTAAATGCAAGAACTTGAAATAATGTCAATGTCTTTTCATTTTATTATTATATTTATTATTTAATTTTTTTTTTAATTTTATTTTACAGTCACCAAGCCGTCTGGAATCATCAGAGCAGACCACAGGCCGTCAGTTGCAGCGCGTGCTGCACTATTCGCCTTGCCGATCATTGCCAGGCTTTCAAAGGACAGAATGTGTTTTGCATGATGTTGACTGTGATGAAGTTTACCCAGGAATTTATATTGGCGATGCGTAAGTGGCCTTCAATGTTATGACTTTGACTTTTAAACTAAAAATGCTCCCATTTCTTGTATTTTTTTTTCATGGAACTATAGTGCGGCAGCAAAAAATAAAACTTACCTGCGTATGATGGGAATAACACATGTACTGAATGCCGCGGAAGGTTGTCGTTATGGACAAGTGGACACTGGGCACAGTTACTACCGTGATATGCCAAGTGTGAGGTTAGTGTAATAATGAAGTTATTGATAAGTTTGCACTTTTTGGACAGAAAAGACATTTAAACGAAATATTTGATTTCTTGATTTTATGTCAAAAATATGGATTGTTTTATCTTTTTTTTTTGTGAAATATTTCCTGAACTTCGATTTTATTTTGTTGATAATTATTTGCTGGTTTACAATTTGGTCCTCTGTTCTATCGAAATTTCTTTTGGTTTCAAAATTAATTTTTTCAAAATTTTTATATTGTTTGCTTTGTTGACTGCGTCATCTACGTACGTAATTATTTTTATATGCTTTGTAAATATTGCACTTGAAATGAAAACGAGAGTAGAAGAAACAACAAAGAAACTTTTTTTAGATATATGGGCTTCCCAATGGTTGATGCCCCATCAACAGATATATCCAGATACTTTTATGTGGCAGCAAAATTCATAGATAGCGCCATCAGTGGTGGCGGTAAGTAGAAATTACATTACATATACAATATTTATTTATATAAATAACGAGTGTCACTCTTTGTAGGTAAAATTCTGGTACATTGTCTTGTTGGTATGTCCAGATCGGCTACATGTGTGCTGGCTTATTTGATGATTTGTCGTAAAATGTCTGCACAGGATGCGATACGTAAAGTACGCATGCGTCGTGACATACGTCCTAACGAAGGTTTCCTGCAACAATTAGCTGATTTGGATATGGAGCTTAAACGCAAAAATCTCTATCCATACTAAAACAATCGAATTGGTCTCCTTTTATAAAACACAACACACTTTATATATTTAATAACATTTAAAACAAAAAGAAAAAAAACTTACATATACACTTAAAAGTAAGAACAAGTGGAACACATATATAAAGTTCTAAACTATTTATATTTGTTATATATACTAAAAAATAAAAAAATAAAACCAATTATAAGGAACAAACATTTTTAAACGAATAAACCAAAAACCAAATATTGAACAACTGACTATTAACGTATTAACTGATGTAATTAATTTATAAATTTAGCTAAGGGCGTTATAAGCCATTTTGAATGTAGCACGCGTATATGCACTAGTATATGTTGCATATAGCAAAATCGTTTAACGAATCGAAGAGATACTCTTAAATCTAAATTGATATATGTTGAATTCTGAAGTTATTTACTTTCATTATTGTTTTTTAATGTACTTTAATATAATCTTATGAACTTATATATATTCAGTACTCTGAGCTGGAGAATTTCGAATTGTGAAAATTGTTTTGGATTGAGAAACGAGACAAATAAAAAAACACAAAAATCATATTTTCTAAATAAACAGAAATAAAAGCAATATAGGATTTGTTTTTATAATTGTATTAATTTTTTAATAAAATATATTATAAAATTATTGAATATATTCATTGTTTATATTGCATTATGGGATTTTGAAAAGAAAGTTATGTTCTCTCCCGTAATATTCTTTGCTGCCCAGGATTAGCATTCATTGTTTTTATCGCATTATAAATTGTTTAAAATCAAATTTTTATTCATTTCCGTAATATTCTATGTTATCCAGGATTAGTACTCATTATTTTAAAAATATTATAAAATGTTTACAAAGAAAGTTGTATCCGTTCCCGTAATAATCTATGCTGTCCAGGACTGGCTTTCATTTCTTTTTATAGTATTATAATATATAGAAATGAAAATCTCAATGCTAAGAAC